GTATGTTCTACAGCAATTTTTAGCTGGAACGTTACGAGACAGAGTTTAGGATGATAAGATTATATATATATGTAACGCTCATATTATGATTCATTTTCAAGTTGAACCATTTCTTATTGATTTTTTGAAAGTGTACTTGAAAATTGTTTTGATGTTCTCAATGTGTGATTTTTTCTTTTATGATGAAGGGGAAAGTTTAGTGAACAAAGCTCGCTGGAGGAATGGCGCGGCTCCCCGTTTTTTTGTTTTTTTTTAATATTATTTATTTATTTACACACGAGATGCACAACGCAGCATATCAATATAATGAAAATTCAAGTTTTGTCAAGAGGTGTAATTCAACTTCAGCCATATTTGTACAAGAAACAGAATAATTTCATTGGGAAAAACTTTTAATGAAACTGAACTAGAAGCAGCATACTACAAAACTTCTTGTATTCATACTTTGTTAGTCGCACACGCAAATATGCTTAACTACAACTTTTTACGGAAACAGTATTTTGTAGCTCTAATTCTTAGACACGGGTATCCACGTTAATAAAAAATTGGCGATGAAAAAAGACAAAATATGGATTCATAAAAAAAGTATCGCCAGTTTTTCTTTATTTCCTACCAATTTACCTCTACGTTCACAACGAAGAGGAAGAATGTATATATACATATATAAACACTTATACTCGACCTTCCACACAAAGAATACTTCACTGAATTCTCAATCCATACTTACTGAACTTTTATTTATAACTAATGTACCCATATGTAAATATTAGTTTAAATTTATTGATCAATACTTCATGCGCCTTATTGGTGATTTAATATTTGATTTATCTTTCATAACAAGAGGTAATTATTTTAAAGGCGATAGTTATGACATGTTTGGCTGCATAACTCGGTAAGTGTCGGTCGTACATTGAGTGTGTGGTTCATTTGTCGTATTGTTGACGCCAAGTTACTCGAGCCTTCGGTATTTTTCTCGTTACCTTATGCGAGTATTGTTCCATTATCGTGTCGCGTAGTTTATAAAAGTTCGAGACCTCAGTGCATTAGAAAGATAGATATAGATGACTAGCAAGCGCAAGTAGAAAGAGTCAAGTGAAGCTCATTCATAAAAAAATGTTTAGAAACGTGAAGTTAAACGGCGTACGAGTGATTAGCCTTAACTGTTAATATTTTTAAAGCGAGTTCCACAGTTTAATAGAAATAAGGAGAATAATTTGTCTTATCAAAGGATGTTCTAGAGTATTTGAACCAGTTCATGTGGTCTTTGACGAAAAGGAGAATTATTTAAAGTTCTTGATACAAGTAGGTAACGTATGTGAATTTATCGCAGGTTGTATAGTAAGAAAGAGAACTGAGAAAAATAATTAGTGTTGTCAATTGAATTCTAAAGTAATTGAATCAGCCTGTGTGGACTTTTGAAGAGAAAAGAATTTAGAGTTTTTAGATACAACTGTGATATATTATGTAAAGAATTTTTGTACATACGTTTGACTTGTTTTAAATATACATTTAAAAACAAGTGGATTGTGTGCTGTCCATTTATTGTTCGAATTTATCGCCAACAAGTCACAGACACTTAGTATAGAGTAATCCCAACCCACATACTTAAAACCCTGACAAGATATATAAAAAGTATGTGTGTTACACAATATGTAATCAACTAAAATAATCCGAAAACTCAAGTTTTGATATAATCATAATTAATGCAGTGTACTCCTAAATTAATTGTTTAGATCAAAATAGCAACTTATTACACATAGGCACAGAAGTTACTTTCTTTAAAATGCCAATTTACACACCATACCACGATCGATGTCAGGGCGAGTAAACAGACTGGTTATACATCACGAAACTGAGAATTCGTGATTAAAACATTATTTGCATTAGTTAAATGTGACGATCCTTTTTATAAAAAAAAAAGGTGGAGACAGAAAAACAACCCTCTGCACTAAGTACATATAAAGGGTGCTAATTTCAATGTGTTTAATATTTATACGTATGCATCACCGCCTTCAACTACGCCACAGAAATAGGAAAATTAGCAATTCACAATGTTTGTATTTACGTGGCTTAGACTTTCCAAAGTCCACTCCTACATACATACCTAAGTACATAGCTTTCGTAGTTTCGGTAACATCGAGGTTACCTTAACTTGCACTGAATTTCATCCACTTCAAAATTACATTCAGAACACTTTCTTCGTTATCAGTTGCTGCCGAGAGGTCTCGTGAAACGATATATATATATATATATATATATATATATATAGAGAGAGAGAGAGAGAGA